TTTTTTTTACAGTGTAGTTTTAGAAACAATGCCAAAAGTTCTACTATTGCTTCAAACTTGTGATGTCATAGTAGGAATCTGTGATTTTGTTTCACTAGTAACAGAGAGAGAGCCTCCCCACCAGGCTCTAGTGCTGCCTCAGTGTGTACAGTGCAATGGTAGAGTGGAGTTACGGTTGCAGACATGGGGGGAAGTGAAGGCGGAAGAAGGTAGCTGGACTTGTTTACACCTCCACAGAACAGCTGCTTCAGCACACAGCAGCCTGACTCAGTTACTAATGCTCAGGACCATCAGTCCTGCAGGTCACAACTTGTGTTCCCGTGGCCCAGAGCCTTCAGGGGAAGTTTGGCCAATAAGCTGAACAATGGTGTTATTTCTGGTGGTTCCTCCTCTGACCAAAGGACATGCAAAGTAATGAAGTCACTGCATACTGTTAATATATGTACAACCAACAGGTCAGATCATAGACAGCCCCAGGCCCAGCTGTAGTTAGAGGATTGACGTGTCCCTGCAGGTCACATGATGGCCTGTCTCAGCTGTGTCCCCCCTCCCTGACAGGCTGGTGGGGTCAAGAAGTCCAAACTGAACCAAACTACTCATCTCAGACCCTTCACTTACCTGTGGCCTGCACCTGTTCCCGAGGCAGAGGGAAGTTAGACTGCAAGCTGTGGGAACAGCAGCAAAGAGCTGGTGCGTTGTGTGTATCTCAGAAAGTAACTACTGTAGTTCAATTCCAGCTGTGGTTAAAGAAGGTCAGTTTAAATTAAATTTTTTAATCAACTGCAAATATATGTTATACAGCAGACAGAGTTGTTTTGGAAGGAGATATGGTCGTATAAAAATATCAGTGCATGCCCAAGAGCTGTCTCAGACTGAGGGCATGCCCACACCAGCAAAATGCTGGATTATTAGACTAAACTGCAATCTTGTTTGACTTCATTCTTATGTTCTTGTTAGCTGATTTATATTTAGAAGGGGCCATTTAGTTTTGTTATCCTCTAATCTATCCAATCTAAACAGTCCTAACCTTTGAGGGAATTAAGTTACCAGAACATCTAGCCCAGGGGTGGATTCTGCTTGCTCACAAAAATGATAATAGATAACAGTTTTTTTTCATTTATCATTGTTTTAGGTGTGATTCCTGCACCCTACGACTGTAAAAATGATTTTTTGGATGAGCCGGGAGCTTTGAAGTTTGATCTGCAGTGAGGAATTAGCATTATATAAAATAGGTAACTGAACCACAAGTCTGTATCACTGCAGCAAATATACAGATAACTAATGGAGAACTGACACTGGTTGTGGCTGAAGCTGTGATTATCATAGGGGAACAGCATGGCTATAATTATGGCAGCGGTTGTAGCTATGGTTATGGCTGTGGCAGTAATGATTACCATGTGACACATTTAGGGGTTGTGCAGGTGTAAGCAAAGTGTTGTATGAAGCTATTACTGTTGTAGAGTTAACCTGAACCCAGATCCAAGACTCAACAAAGTTTAGCACAGTAAAACCAGATGAATGGAGATGTGCAGGGAGAGAAGAGTGATACAGGCAACATGAACAGATCCATGAGCTCGTGAGTGGTCTGGTGTGGCAAGAGACCGAGACAGGAAACAGTCCAGTCCGAAACACAAGGAAAATAACTCAGACTAGATTGTGCATGCCTTAGTGTTAGCACCATGTTGGATTATACTGCAGGAGCTGGATGAGTGGATGAGTCGCAGGTCTGAAGGCAGCAAGAATGAGGTGGAGCGCCATGCCCACACAAAAACACACTCACAAACAGAAGACAAACAGGGACTAGGACTAAGACTAAGGAACACAAGGAAGAGCAGAAAACAGACGGACAGACAGTGGGAATGAGGGAGAGTGTTACGATCTATAGGTGCTGTAAACTGTAGCTGTAACTGTATGTAGGTTGTTGTGGTCGACATCGACTCATAATTAAAACTGCTGGCTATAGATAAACGTAAATATAGTAAGAT